TCTTCCTTTCTTTTGTTTCTTCCTTTTTCTTTCTTTTTTGTTTCTTTCCTTTCTTTCTTTTTTTTTTTTTTTTTTTTTCTTTTGTTTTTGTTTCTTTCTTTTGTTTGTTTCTTCCTTTCTTTTTTTTTCTTTCTTTGTTTCTTTTCGTTTCCTTTTCTTTTTGTTTTTTTTTTCTTCCTTTCTTTTTTTTCTTTCTTCTTTCTTTTTCTTTTCTTTCTTTTCTTTTCTTTCTTTTTTTCTTTCTTTTTTGTTTTTTTTTCTTTCTTTTTTTTTTTTCTTTTTCTTTCTTTCTTTTTGTTTCTTTTTCTTTTGTTTTTCTTTTGTTTTTTGTTTCTTTCTTTTGTTTTCTTTTGTTTCTTTTTCCTTCTTTTGTTTTTTCTTTTTTTGTTTCTTTTTTTTTGTTTCTTTCTTTTTTTTTTGTTTCTTTTTTTCTTTCTTCCTTTTTTTGTTTTTCTTTTTTTCTTTTGTTTCTTTCTTCCTTCTTTTGTTTCTTTTTTCTTTTTTTTGTTTCTTTTTCTTTTGTTTCTTTTTTGTTTCTTTTCTTTTTCTTTCTTTTTTTTTTTCTTTTTTTTTTGTTTCTTTTTTGTTTCCTTTTTTTTTGTTTGTTTCTTTTGTTTCCTTTTGTTTCTTTTCTTTTCTTTCTTCTTCCTTTTGTTTCTTTCTTTCTTTTCTTCCTTTTGTTTCTTTCTTTTGTTTTTCTTCCTTTTGTTTCTTTCTTCTTCTTTTTGTTTCTTTCTTCCTTCTTTTTGTTTCTTTCTTCCTTCTTTTGTTTCTTTCTTTTGTTTCTTTCTTCCTTCTTTTGTTTCTTTCTTTTGTTTCTTTCTTTTTTTCTAAAAACCAAAAATATGCTTTAAAAATTTTACAATGACATTAATATTTAGGCAATACTTAAATAGATTGGTCCTAAATAAATAGATTTAAGGAAAATTTTTCTGGCCAAGAATACTTATAGATCAGCATGCTTTTAGACCTTTCTCAAGAGATGAAATTTATCAAATACTGATTTTTTTCTTCTTATCAATCTAGAAGTGGGTTTGTTTCTAATATTGAAACTGTGTCAAATCAATCCTTGGCTTTTACAGAGTTATCTTTACCTAGTTTTTATTTACAAATGTCGCTCCTTGAAAACATGCATATGTCATTCATATCTGCATATTTTTGTTAATTTATCTAAATTTTTTATTTTTCATTAAGAAAATGTGACACTACTTTAAATCTGTATACATCTATCTGTTTTTTAATGACAAAACATTTCATCAAACATTTGCTGGTTTAAAATATTTTTTAAGATAAAACATAAAAATGTATATATCTGTTTATTCTTTATTTAAAAAAAATCTTTTTGTAAAATTAAAAAAAAAACAGTTTTTCATATGCAGATATTAAGCACAGTTTTGAACTTGCCATTTGTAAACAAATATCTAAGTTAAAAAGTCAGGGATCAATTTTACAATGTATTGATATTATGAAAAGCCCCCACCCTTCTAAAATGGTAACAAATCAATATTTATCAATTTTAAGAAGTGTTATGGCTTAAGGAAAGTCTAAAGAAGGCTAATACAGAAAAATCTTTCCCTATGTCTTACAACGGGACCTGTCTATTTAAGTAGTGCCAATATTTGTTATAAAGCTTATCAAAGATATTATTTGTTTTTTTTTTTTTCCCTCCCCTTCAGGCCCTAGAGAAAGGTTTTGTTTTGGGGGCCAAGGCCCCTCTTTGGGTCCCTGATGCTCGTGTAACTATGTGTATGCTGTGTACCTGTGGCTTCACATTTACCTGGAGACGGCACCACTGCAGAGCATGTGGGAGGGTAAGTATTTTCATGCTAATTGCTCTGATAGACTTTCCTCTATTGTACCTAGACTTTATGAATTTAAGCACAGTACTAGATTGGCTGCAAGGTCTCATCATTTTACAATTTAACAGTTCTGTGCTAACAGTTTCTTCTCTCTCTTGCGGCTTCTTGCTTTCCAGTCAATTTTGATCTTCAAAAATTTAAATGCAATTTCAATCATTATCTTTTGTCTTCTTAATTACTGTTTTTTATTCTCTCTCCTTAATAATGTTTTTCTTTCTTTTATCATACTGTCTAGCACTCAGTAACCCCATTGTGTCATAGTGGCTTTATTGCCTTGCTTGGGGTGAAAAAGAAAAGAAAGAAAGTATTTCATATTTTTCATTGGTGTTTACTAAGTTAAGCTTAGTATGGTACATGACCAAACCCCCGACCCCAAAATCCAGGTAAACAGAAGAGGGTCAAGGGGAGCATATCACACCATTCTTTTATGTTGGGAAAGCCTTGAAAATCTGCATTCAAAATTCTGAATTTTACTTGGGCTTGAACACTGATCCCTCACACCAGGATCAAAAAGTCTGTAGCTTGATACAGAGCCATTAGTTTTGTTTGTGTTATGTTCCATCTTGATTAATTAAGTACATTAACAAGAAAGGCAAATGAAGATGTAAAATAATACTTTTTTTACCATTAGACACCAAACTTTACCCCCCCCAACTCATAACATGGAAATAACCAATATAAAACATCCACGTAGAGATTTTAAAAAGAAAATTAATGACTTCATAAAAAGCAAACAGCAAACAATATAGGACACCTTCCCAGGAAACAAAAACCAACCAAGTGTCGGACAGGAAAGTCAATCTGTTCAATATCATGACTTCTATTGCATTCAGTATTATTTTTGCAATGATAATAAAAATTATTTACTATTTACATTGTTCAGACTGTTGTCCTCATCTTCATCAACATATTCACAAGGTTTCGGCCTTTGTATGCTCTGGCTTATTCAGGTGATTGAAATTTCGAACTGAACCCTTTATTTTGTCCACCAGGGTAGATTGTTCTTGTTCCATGTGCCATGCCTCTTCCATATGTCTCGGTATCAGTTATGTCCCTTTAACTCAACTCTCCAAGTATTTTTTTTTTCACCTCATTGTAGCCAGGTATTGAACTCATAACTCTTTGTGGCATGCCACTGGATTCAGCCAATGCTTTTATCCACTGGACCATGTGTCCTTGAAAATATAATCCTTGTTTATTTTTTAAATTTTTTTTTCAGGTTGTTTGCGGAAACTGTTCAAATAATAAAGCACCTCTGCATTATCGGGAAAACAAATCAAACCGAGTTTGTGACGAGTGCTACAAAATCTTAAAAGATGGTATGGTTATTATTATTTAACTCATTTAATTTTGAACTAATATCCTCATCTTTATTGTTGTTATAACATTTCAGCCATTGTCTTCTACAAGTGACTATTGAATCAGGTAACCTTCAGAGAATTTTGATTCAAACCATTTATTTAATATACAGGAGTAGATTGTTCTCATTCATCTGTCTGTCTGTCAAGGGATATCTTGATCTTACTTTAAAAAGGAGGTGGGTAATATTAATCCTATCCTATCTTATCTTATGAATATACTTTTAAGAAGCAAAGTTTTCATGAGTTTCTTCTAAAATAAAACTGTTTCTAAAATTCAAATCTTAAAAGCCACTTGCAGAAAATCTGTGAGATTATAGAAAATCAATGAGATTATAAAATATGAGATTATAAAATATCTGAGATTGCCTTCTCATTATTTATTTCATTTATTTTTTAAAATGTATTTTTCAGGCCGGTTAAGGTGTAATTTCTGAAATTTTCTAAATTTTGAATCAGTATTGCAATATAATTAGTTCAATTTTAGTGATATTATTATACAGTGATTTGTTCAGACTAATATCCTCATCTTGTTATCTTCACCATTTGTTACCAGGTGTTAGTAATAGTTGGTAACCCCTGTCATGGCTTTCCTCTCTCCAGGAGTCAGTAATAGTTGGTAACCACTGTGACGGTACTGTTCCCCACCCCCAGGCATCCTGCATAGTTGATAATCTTCCAACCAACTGATTTATAGTGATGACAAGTTTTATTTCAAAATTCAGACAATTGAAAAAGATTTAAAATCCAACTAAGGTTCCTTTTTCTTTTTTTTTTTTTGTTATCAAAATGTTTTCATGGTTGTGTACTCTGCAGCCTTTCTTTCATGATGTATCATTTTTGATGGGGGGGGGTAACCATCAGGTAATTTCAAACATAACCCTTTATTTAATCAATGGGGGTAAATTGTTCTTGTTCCACTTTCCCTTTCTTTGGATATCTGGTATTCCCAGGCAGTCACCTATCTAGGCTTTGACCAGGCTTGATGTTGCTTAACTTCAGTGATTGTACGGGGAACTGGTGTTTCAAATTGATGTGGCTGTGGGCAGGAATTGGAACTCAGGTATGCTTGAATGATTTGTGTAGCAGATTATGGACCCCTTAAGAGAAGGTACGTTGAAAGATCTGTACTCATAAAGGCTTCTCTCTCTTTATTTTTTTGTTCTTCTTTGCAGATGTATACAAGCAACTGGACCAATTAAAAACTGCCAAAGAGAAAGGTGAAAACTTGGAATTTCCTGTTCCACCAGAGACCCTTTTGTCACGCTTTGAAAAAATTCGAAAAAGTGGACGATCAAAGACTTCCATCCATCGGCCACCTTGGCTGAAAGAGGTACAAGCAAACAACTTTCTCATTTCTTACTTATATACAAGACACTACTACTCTTAAACATTAATCATTTCACCCCAAGTAAGGAAATAAAGCCACTAAAATGCAAGGGGTTACTGAGTGTAAAAGAATATGAGAAAAAGAAAAACCCTATTAAGAGTCTGTCAGTTAAGTGCCTTATGAGATACATGTTTGGAACATCATGTCTCTTTTGATTCGTGGCTGACTAGACAGATTTCCTGCAATAGACTGCTTGTCAACGAAGGCTACAGGACCCAATCTACCCTACTATTCAATCCATAGCTGGAGGTTGAAGAGATGGATTCATACCTTTCCTAAAGGTGTTTGTGCATAAGTGAATATAACGAACATGACTGGAATTTGAACTTGGCTCTCTGAGTTCTCATTCCAAGCCATTATCCATCACACTATCCACACATCCAATCTTATGGAACCTATTATTCCCAAGCAGTCACCCATCTAAGTACTGACCCAGCTTGATGTTGCTTAACTTCGATGATTGGATGAGAACTGGTGTTTCAATGTGATATGACCATAAGTCTCAAACCCGAGGAGGGCCATTTGGAGACTTCATGGCACTATTAATGACGATAAAAGAACAGGAATTAAGAAAACAGAAAGTAACGATTAATATAAGATTATTATAAGAAGATTTTTTTTATATGCTTCTTTAAATATTTGTTTCCAATTATTAATATGGTGGGGGGGTGGGGCAGTTTATTAGTTAATAACTGTAGCCTAATTATGACGTCACACACTGCCACAGTCACCGGGCAAGTCTGTGGTCAATCCCTATAGCTAGCCTTGGAGTTGGTCACTCTGACCCTCAATCCCATCCTGACCATATTGTTTGTTTTAGATCACAAGGTGGTGAAGGCTCAGTTCTATATCCAATGTTCCTGGATCCGGTAGATTTGGCAAGATGACACCGCAAGGAACAAAGTTAGAGACAGCTGTGTAACACAACAACTTTATATCAAAGGTTCATACAATGAACGTTCTACTCACTAAATTAGCAACAGCTACTAAAATGAACAGCATATATAAAGAGAAAATAATTACATAATCAAGATGTTGCTGTCAAAACTGGAAAGAGTGATAACAGCTACTGCACTTTAGAAACCTGTTATTCTAATTGTTTTAGGAGAAAGATTTTGTAAATTTCAACCAAAGTCGGTACTGGTTGCTTGGTCAATGAATGTCAAATGTTTCCTTATCAGGAAAAGGCTAATACTATCAATAGAAATAAGGAGAACAGATACTATACTTTGATCCTAGAGGGAAAACCAAAGCATATCTTAAGTAGCACTGGCTGCTTGTTCAATGAATGCCAAATGTTTCCTTATCAGGAAAAGGTTAATGTTACCATTAATAGTGTTTATATAATAAATTTTATTAATTTTTTTTCTGCTGTATTGCTTACCTTGAATCCCTATATTAGGTTAGTATGGAGTGGTGACTATCTGTTATCCAGAGTGACAGGTTCTTGTAGCACAAAAATATAATTAATTTAAAAACAAAAACTCTGAATATACAAGACATTTTAAACCGATTCCTTTAAATATTTGATCACTGCAACTATTTCTTGTATTTCATTTTATTTTCTCGGATTTGTTTGTAACCAAAACGAGTGGATATTTAAAATTTTCATTTTCATTTCTTCTTCAGGTTCATGCCAATGATCAAGGATCAACAATGAGTGGATACTTGAAAATCTACAAGGGCAAAAGATGGAAGCGGCTGTGGTTTGTTCTAAAGGACAAAGTTCTATACAAATACAAAGCCAGTGAGGTGCGTATTTCTTTTACTATTTTTTTTCATAACTCTAAAAGAAAATGTGAAGAAAGAACTATCAATTTTTTGATAAAATCCAAAGAAGAATCTGCAATGTTATTGGTCCTGACCTGGCATCTCTGCTTCAGTCACTTTCCAACTACAGTAACATAGCTTCCCTGTGCTTTTTCTGTAAATGCTTTCATGGTAATAGTTCTGATGAATTTTCTCTATGGTACCTAAACTGTATGAATTTAAGAGTACTAGATTGGCAGCAATGTCTCATTTTACAGTTGAAATGGCTAAATGTAACACTAAGTTCTATGCTAACAGTTTCTTTTCTCACACTTCTCACTTGTGGAACTCATTTCTGGCTTCTTGCTTTCCAATCAACTTTGATCTTCAAAAATTTTCAATTCTTCTGTTTTCTTAATTCCTATTTATTTAGTGTTCTCTCTCCGTAATAGTGGTTTTTTTTTTTCATATTCTCTAACACTCAGTAACCCCTTGCATCTTAGTGGCTTTATAGTCTTGCTTGGGGTGAAATGATTAAAAAAGAAAAAAAAATTGTAAGAAGACAATGTATAGTTGTCAGCAATAGAAACAGAAATATGTGAGATTCAAATTGCAGATGTCAAACAAGTACGAAAGTTAAAATAACCTTAAAGATGATCCAACTCATATCATTGGTTAAAGGTTTCCATTTTCCAAATCACAGCATATACTTGAGAAGTCTTAGAATTTTTTTTGCTTAAGTGATTCTTTCTTGTAATAAAATTTTCAGTGCTAGGCAGATGAGTCACATTGTCAGTTCACTCCTCATCCGGAGAGTTAATGAAATTGGAGTTAAGTTTGTTTCTGATGAGCTTTCCTCTCTGATATCTTTGTTCATCAATTTGAGTACAGTACTAGATGGGCAGCTAGGTCTCATCATTTTACTGTTAAAATTGCTAGATATAGCTATGTATAAAGTTTGATGCTAATCGCTTTTTCTCTTGCATTTCTCACCTGTGGAACTCTCTTCAGTTCTATGTAGATTCAAGTAATTGACAGAATTCTGAACTAAACTCTTTATTTAATCTACAGGCCTAGACTATCATCGTTCCACTGCCTATATCTAGGGATATCTCCTGTTGTTTTTATTTCTGCCAGAGGGCACAACAGCTGAAACATTGCGCTAACAGCAACAAAGATGAGGACAATAGTCCGAAATTAAAGAGTGTAAAGAATTAAGATTCATAAGAAAATTCAAATAGGAAAAGTCAGGTTTTCATGGGTATGTAATTATATATGTATATTCTTTTTCTTACATATATACAGTGCTCTATTTTAACTTGCTGTTAAAAGATCTTTGTAAAAATAATGGATTCAGGTGTAGTGGGGCTCATTGAATCAATGTGAATGTCCCTTAGCTGCATAGTAGGTGCTTTGACAAGGTTACATAGTGTTTTGAATTTAGTTTTTTCTTCTCCTAGACTGGTTGCCACCCAAGGCCACCCAGTTTGTCCTACTATTTTGCCCATAGCTTGGGGAAGAATAGTTGGATTCATACCTTTCCCAAGAGTATTTCACGCTTCTTCTAAAAAAAAAAAAAAAAAAAAATAGTAATTATGGTGGGGGGATCAGTTTATTATTTAGTACCAATATAAAACTGATCTCCTACTTTATGTCCAGTAGAATTTTATATTAAAACTAGTTCACTCTCCAGGCTGGTTAGAGTTTTTCCTTTTCCTAGACTGATTGTTACTCAAGACTGTAGGACCCAAACTGTCATACTATTTTACCCATAACTGGGGGGAGGAGAGATGGATTCATACTTTTTCCAAGAGTATTAGCACGTAAGTAAATGTAATAACTCAACTGGAATTCAAACTCAGCTCTCCATTTCATTAATCTGAGCCTGCAACCCGTTACTCTCCCCTGAGCTTTTTAATGCACATAAAAGAATAACTTTTTTGATTTAGTTATGTATTCATTTTGAAAAACATGAAAAACAACAATCTCAGCAGTGTTCAAAACATACAGGCACCCATTTTGAAAAAATGTGCAGCATAAAATAGTACTATTAATGGTTAACATTGTACTTTTATTTCTCATTACAGGACATGGCAGCCATTTCAAGTACACCCTTACTAGGTTACGAGGTGAAACGGTTCACTGAGGTGAGTTTTTTTTTTTTTTTTTTTTTTTAAACACTGATATAAAAATAATTCTGGGAATTTTAAGATTTGTTTTTCCTTTTCAGAGATAAATATTTCCCTGTCAACAATTTTGTTTAAAGAAACTAATTTATAGTGGACTAGTGACTGGACCACAATTAGTAAAACATTTACATGCAAACTATCATCCTGATCTCTCTTGTTATTATCATAATGTTTCGGACGTTGTGCTCTCCAACCTTCATCAGGTGTATGTCGATCCACATCTGATATGAATTTAGTGACACAGTAATTCTCAGTTCAATCCCTAGGCCAGGCAGCATGCACTATGTATGAAAATAAAAACGAGACACGATATCACTAAACCTGGGCAATGGAACAAGAACAATGAATATATAAATGTAAATGTTCAAAGAAAAGGGTTCAGTTACCCACCTGATGAAATGTTTTAACAACAAAGATGACAATACACTGCATCATGTGTCTATTTTTCTGAGATGATGTCTTGTAACTATTTACACTATTTGCATTATTCGGACTGTCGTCCTCATCTTTATTGCCATATTCACAATGTTTTGGTCATTTTACACTCCAGCCTTCTTCAGGATCTGTCTATATTTCTGAGATGAGGTCTTGTAACTATTTACATTATTTAGACTGTTGTCCTCATTTTTATTTGCTATATTCATGACAACAATAACAAAAATTGTAATATGAGCTCTGGTAAAAAATGAAATTAGGTTTATAAGTACCAAAAATTCATTCACAGGATGCATGGCCCAGTGGATAGAAGCGTTGATTGAAGCAATCCAAAAAAGTGACCTTACCCAAAGAGTTCTGAGTTCAAAAACTTGGAGTGTTGAGTAACTAAATAGGGAAATAACTAAAACTGAGACATCCAAAATAGGCGTGGCATGTGGAACTAGAATAATCTACCACTATGAACTAAAGGATTTGGTCCAAAATTCCAACGTATATCACCTGAAGAAGATTAGATTGTTCAACAGCCAAAATGTTGTGAATATGTCAATAAAGATGAGGACAACAGTTCGAACAATGTAAATAGTGTAAATTTCTCATCCCAGGAATTCCAACAGTAATTGGTAAATTATTTTGAGCGATTCATTCTTTCCAAGAGACATTGTCACCATTTATCTTACCTCTGAATGTCTCCCAATCTTTCTCCATTTTTCTGTTTTTCATTAAAAACACTGGGTATCATCACAGTTACTTTTCCCTAACTAGATCTTCTGTTTTTTTGGGTTTTTTTATTTTTCCAACTACGGTTGTCTTTATAGAACCTGAATATTTGATCCCTCTATTACTCAAGAATCTGGAATTTTTTAACAATTCCAAAGTAAAGCATGTGTTGAAATTCAGAGCTATTTGCAATCAGCAGCTATCAAATCCATACTTATTGATCAGCAGTTATTGGTCAAATCATTTGTATACCTGAGAACTGTCTTTCACATCATTTTTTTTTTTTTTTTTTTTTTTTTTATTGTGGGAGAAAAAAAAGGGCCGTCAGTGATCAATACAAGTAATAAATAAACTTTGAAGACCCAAACATCTTAAAAACATTGGCTGGTGACCAGGTCAGTTGGC